CTCCCTGATTAGAAGATGACATGTCGAGTTTGCAGTCTTAGTTTGGAGTCCTAGGAAGATGGCTAAAGAACGGCTGGGAAGAAATGTTGGAGGATACCTGCGTGCAACACAGGAGTTCGAGAGCACTTTTGGCCTTTACCCGCTCATGAGGGATATTTTGAAATCAGATTGTAGCATGTCGTAGCAAATAGTGTTAGCAAAATGCATATATTTCATGTCGTTCTCAGCAGAGAAGCTTCAAATACATTGCCATGAATCGGCGCATACAACTTTGGGAGACCCTGTACATATATATGTATTAGGTTGAGTCCTAAATCCTCGGACAAAATGATGATGACTTCTAAAGATCTTAACTCGGGAAAGAGGAGACGAAAGTGGACGCGTGTGGCATTGTTAGATAGAGTATGAAAAGCTCTTTAAAATACATACTAACGAACACACCTAACTGTTTCCTTTCCTGCGTTTTTTCCTTTTCCTTACCATGACCCATGACTTCAAGCCGTCGCAACTTCACCTCCGCAACACCATCCTTTTTACTTTCTTTATCTGGCTAAGAACCCGCGAAGATCGATAAACATATGAAGAAAGTTTACAATGAGGATGCCCCTGCTAAATGCACAATTTACAAGTGGCAAACGAAGTTTACGTCGGACGACTATTCCATCGAAAATGATGACCGTCCGAGAGGCTCAATGGGGTTAGATTTGGACGTGCTGCGGAGCCAGGTGGAAGCCGATCCGTATTAAACTACTCGTGAACTGGCAATCACCTCTGGAGTCAGTCCACAGTTATTCGTGGATTGAAGTCAATCGGCAAAGTGCGAGAGCTCGGTCGATGGGTGCCTCATGCTTTGAAGCAGTATGACATGGACTGCCGCGCCGTCATGGCACTTTCCTCACGCTCAAGCGCAGGAAATGGTCAGGTGTATTCGTTGGTATTTGGAAAAGCTTTTTAAACTCTATCTAACGATGCCTCGCGCGTTCATTTTCCTCACCTCTTTCCCGAGTTATGACCTCTAGAAGTCATCACTATCACATGGTCCGAGGACTTATGACTCAACCTATTATATGCAGTATTGCTCATAAAGAAAGGACCCCTTTTGCTATATTTTTAACTGATTTTTTGTTATTTCATATGTTAGCAACAGCATAGATATCAAATGTTTCCCTAACTCACGAAACACCTTTTATTTCACCCAAAAGATCACTTTTTTTCTTTTTTTCCAACAAAATTAGGCCAGTTTTAACAGCTCGAAAAATCACCTAAATTGAACCCTATCATCATGAAATAGAAACTTAGCTAGCTACCAGTATAATGCTCCGTAGCGAAGCCGCGAACATCAACGACTGCTTGGCATTGGCGCCGCATTGATTCGGCCAACTTATCAATCACCACCTGGTCAATTTTCTTCCCTCCTTCATACAACTGAGCAAGCCCCAGTGCAATATCTGTGGCTTTCATCCCGGTTAACCTTTTCTTTAGCTCTTGCCACAAAAGTCTAATGGCGTTCAAATGAGTCCAGTCACGGCATCGATTTTTGCGCCGAGTCAGGAACTCGCACACCGTTCCAGATCTGTGTTAAGGGTCGTTACCATGCTGGAAAGCGGATTTTCTTCGGCAAAAGCTAACATGCACTCGCCACAGTATCTACATACATCTGCTGGTCTATGGTGGTGAAGATATGGTAAAACGGCCTCATGCCTAAACTCGAAAAACACCCCCCAAACTGATACTGAACCGTCTCCATGCTTGACAATTTTCAACTGATGTTTGAGGATGAATCTTGTTTCAACAGGTCCTCTTACAAACGAATCACATATGTACCGAACAAAACAAACTTTGACACGCCGTTCCAGATGAGTTCGTGCCACTGGTAAGGTTCAGTGGAACTGCGCGCGCGCTCGTTGGAGTCGAGCTTGCCTGCTTCTCAGAAACACCGATAGATTCTTTACGGGACTTCCTCCATAGAATCCACCATCCCACAGGTGTTTGCTAATGGTATGTCGAGACGGTAGCGGCGTCACCGCCTTCGATGCTTCGGTCATGTATAGGAAGATGTACGGCTGGAATTTTGGCGCCCTTACCGATGATCTTCCTATCGTCCGCGGAAGTGGTAATCCGTGACCTTCCCGTGCTGGTTCGTCGCGAGACGTTATTCTTCCAATAGCCTTTGTAATCGTAGACCTTGAAACACCGAACTGCCTTGAAAGTTGAGCACGCGTTAACCTCTGCTTACTGCCTGCGATTGCAGAGCTTCTTCACGGCCAGAGAGCGAGATCCAACAGTTCCTTTAGTGAAAGTGACCAACTAACAAAACAAAAGAACCATCAAGCAATTCTGGACTCGATAGGCTTAGGAAAACCTACTAAGAAACAAATTCTTGGAAACAGCCATCCCGTTGGCGGAAAGTAAACCTACTTTGCATTGCAGGGGAGTCAATAATATTTGGAAAAGGTGCTGTCATAAAATCAGTCAAAAACATTGATTACGAGATCATGATGACTTCGAGATGATTTGTGACGAAATACTTTCATGACTTCTTTTTGGACAGTACTATATACATAGATAGATAATACATATATGAACTTCTTTCACTGAAGGTTCTCGCTCACGGAATGACATCTAGCCGGTTGATGAGGAGGCTACGTATCGCTACCGTAGCATATAGATGGATAAATGGCGGACCAAAAGTCACCGGTACTTGCCCAGGAACGTAGTGGATTCAGGAGATGTACTCGGTGTTTCTGCGGTATTGGTTCGGTTTGTACCTTCTGCATCCCCGCACGTCTATCCATACGTGTGGGGAAGGTTTTTGGGTGCGGTTGGTATCCCCCCCCCCCGACCAGCTTATTTAGAAACTTGCGCTCGAGCGACTATTAAGTAGTCTGGGAGGCGATTCGGGGCCGCTTCTAATAACTTAGCTATGGTTAAATCTGGGGTAGCCTGGCTAGCTACCCGAATACTTATTGAGCGGTTTTTGGACACTGCAGAATCGACGCATCTTCACGCATTCATGACGCAATTCTCGGCTCGTCGACAGTGAAAACTGCCTGTTATTCTAAACCTGCAGAACGATGGCAAATGTGTTTCTAGAAATTTGAGATCAGGACCACACGAAGGCCATTCCACAGCTTCGGAACTGTGCTGTTGAAACGCCACAAGGTTCACGTGCCAGCGTGACGTTTGCATTACCCCGCTTTATTTCTGCTGAAGCCAACGGTCAATGAATGATAATTAATTATATTGAAGATTTTCTTGAGGCTGTTGCTCACCCACATGACAAGTATGATGACTCTAGCTTTTTGTCTCAATAATTAGCTATCCAATCCAAGTGCGTACAGCCACCGAAGTCGTGTTGACTGAATTGCACTAGTTCCTGTCTCAGAGCTCAACAGTAGCATTTACATCACTGAGCCCATATAGTTGAACTTGTTCTCGTAGGGAGGAATAGGTAAAAATCATTTTGCAGCATAAAAGGTACGGCTAATTTCACAACAGTTCCTGCTTCCAATCCATTGAGATGTTTCCTCCGGCAATCAAGCAGCAGCATAAACCGGGGGTTTTGAGGCAGGCAGCTTCAAGCCTGCTGGTTGACAGTGCAGCTAAAGCATGCTTCCAAACCGTCACCAAACCGCAGAGTTTGTGCCTTCGTTCGGTGACCTTAACGAAGTCGCGCAAAGCTCAAATCTCGCCCACCTTCCGTGGAGAGGACCAAATAACAATGAGGCAAGACGTGCTTGCGCTAATTATGGTATATAGGGTTAACCGAATAAATTATTTCGAAACTTCTCGAACATCCTAACGTGTATGTATGCATGGAAATATAAATATTCATACATTTACTGTAGCAAGGGAACGATTGTTTGCAAAGGGCCTTTAATTTCAGATTAAGGCCTATTGGAATCACAGAGATGGTGAATCTACGTTGAAAGTTGAAGGAGCAGTCAGATGCCACCAGTACCAAAAAGCTTCAACACGAATTCGACAGAAAGATCCAACTTCTCTACAGAAGAAAAAAAAGATGCTGAAAGTGCCAGCTCGTAATAACTTCTACAACATGTTGGAAATCAACCTGAAAGGGAAAGCTGAAGGCATCATGCTCTTGTATAATGCAGAATTCTTGCAAAATTCGGAGAACCTCCTTCCCAGTGCAGTGCTCTATCAAAATAATACATGCTCAAGACTCGATATTTTATGCGTCACCTGAAGAATGTGGTTATCTCCAAGACCTTCATTTGCATTACCGAAATCCATCGATGCCCCCGCTGGGTCAGCATGGCAGGCCCACAATGCGTCCTCCAGTGTAATTACCCTAAAATTCCATAGATAAGAGCGGGTGAACCTACCGGTGAAAAAATGAATTGGAAAAAATCGAAATTGAATGCAGTCACCCCTCTAACTTGATGGACTCCGCCCCTCAACTCTAAACCCCGCCCACTTAATAAACAATCCATATAGAAAAACAGCGATTTTAACGGATGTGTTAGTGTTTTTCTATATGAATTGTTTATTAAGTGGGCGGTGTTTAGAGTTGAGGGGCGGAGCTTCTTCTCAACTTCTTCTTCGAAGTTTAATTTATCCATTCAATTTCGATTTTTTCCAATTCATTTTTCACCGGTAGGTTCACCCGCTCTTATCTATGGATTTTTAGGGTAATCAACGAACAAGTGCATTTCACAATGTACAACATCGACTACATGGTACTCTCGGTTTTGAGGCAAACGACAGCTCAAGAGTAAAGCCATAGCCGTACCACTACCACCTCTATATTCACAATGATCACACGTTGCACTGGATAACAGCAATCGTTATATACCTTTAACGCCAACCTTTTAGTCCCACGGGTGTAGATGAGACGAGAGAAAAATCCGTCCTGTTGGGAAGTCTTCTACTTGTAAATGGTACACAAACCATGTAGAAAACACAATTCGACATCGAAATGCTGACAGAAGATGATGACACCTCTTAAGGGCAGATAAAGAGACTTGAAGTGTTTGTTATTATAAGGGAACATTAGCACATATATTTAGGATGTGGGGGATGACCGAATCATTGATGAATAGAAAGAGATAACTCTCGATTACAGCGGGCAAAGATTCATAAAAGGTGCGAGTGATGTGCCTTGACAACTTATTCGGTTACGCTTGCCCTAAAACCCGCATATTGTACACAATCCATGTCACAGTAACCTCTGCATTCATCGAGTTGACTTTTCAAAGCATAAGAGTACACAAAAAGGTGCTAAGTGGGTTGGGGGGTGCCACGCGGCGGCGCGGCACTTTTCTCGTCTGACGCGCTCTCCAGCGAGATAGTAGTACTGGGCCTGAGTCTGGGAAGGGATGGTGAAGTTGTACTGATGCGTTTCGCGATTTAAAACAAACTAACTTTTGGCACATGTTATATGCTTGCATATTATGGATAGACTTCTTCTGAGCCGATGAAATCTATTTTTCAAGAAGGGGAGGGGCTCAGGGGTTGCGTAAGATGGTTGTCTCGTGCAAAAAGCTGAGATGAGGTAAAAGTTGAACGTCCAATTGGCTCACCCACCCCGGAGCCCCTCCCCTTCCTTAAATTAGGTGAAAAATACACAGTTATAACATGAAAAAGCTACGAAACGTCCCTAAACACCATTACGGGCTCTACTATTCTTCCTTCTCTACTGTCTCGCTGGAGAGAGCGCCAGACAAGAAAAGTACCGCGCCGTCGCGTGGCACCCCCCAACCCACTTAGCACTCATAAAAAAGCTATGAAACGTCCCTAAACACCATTACGGGCTCGACTACTCTTCCTTCTCCA